ACTTCCCCCAAAGTCGTTAAAGGGATCGTTCAGCCAAAAATGAAAATTTGCCGTTAATTTACTCGCCCTCAAGCTACCCAAGGTGTAGGTGGCTTTTTTTTAGTTCGGTAGAACAGTAAAGCAGATTTTAGCTGAAACTGTGCTCCTTGGTGATTCATAAAATGCAAGGCAATGGGTACCGGCACTTTGAGAGTCAAAAAAAGCACATGCAGGCAACACAAAATGAATGTTCAAAACCCTGGTCTTGTTATCATAAGAGCAGGTGCTTGACTTGTATGTAGATGTTGGTTTAGAGCGTAAACGTCGCAGATGTTTACCTGAACATGTTGCTCACATTGATTTCTCAAATTACAGCCACTCAGGACATTATCCAGCACCGGGATCCCCCGTAATTGGCTCTTTCAGAGCTAAAGTGCACGTGATACCAAAATGTTCCTCTTTACCCTTTCAGATAAGCCTCAATCAGCAGTTGAAAGGTGGCTATTTTAAAACAAGATGGGCGACAAGTGATGCTCTCTCGCCTTTCCTAAATGCCGCTGATGGGCAGCCATTTTTTGCGCCTGCATTTTTCTAATTGTCAGCATAATGTGGAGCTCTTTTTTTTTGGAATATAAGCCCGAAAGGATTTTTTCCTCCGTTGATTATGGTGTTAGTCATCTAACTGCGTCTGTCACCCCGAGCCTCCTATTATAGGAGTCTCTCCAAATGAAGGCAGCAGAAACGTTTCGAAAGTCCTGCAGCTGTTGATGTGAGAAAAACAGTCTAAAAAAGAGTAATGCATGTGGACAAAGACAAGTACGTTTTCCCTTCAGTTATGATAAATTATTGATAACATATCTGCCATAAGATGAATATTAATAATATATGTATATATAGTAGCAGTATTGTTTATTTTCATGTTTTGGTAGATATTTAACATCTATAGTCTTTTCCTAAAAATAAATAAATCAATAAGTGGCATATATATATAAAATTAAATGATTAAATTACACACTTTATATTATATTTATATTGATATTTTGTTTTAATATATTTTTATGAAAAGTTACCTGCTATTTGATTATTTTATTATAATTTAATATTTAATTTTTTGCATATATGTGAGCATCAGTATTATAATTAATATAATATTATTCATATATTATCAATATTTTGTAATATTGAGTTTTTAAATGAAAAAAGTACAGATTTAAGTAAAATGTTGCCTACTCTATTATAATGAATTTAATGATCTATTATAAATATTTTACATAAATATTTTAGTTTTAATATACTATGTATTATTAGATAATTATTACTTATTTTCATGTTTTAAAAAACAAATAATACACTATAATGAAGTATAATAATAAAATAATATAATCAAATAAAATGTCAAATAAATCATTTAGATTATACTGTATGTTTTATTGTAATTTAATCATTTTAATAATAACTATATATATATAAATAAATATATATATATATATAATTAAAATTATTAAATTATATATATATAATTTTTTTGATTGTTTTTTGTTTTTGTTGATAGCCCTAAAAGAAATAATTACAGCTTTAAATCTGATTGTATGAGCCACTTTTGTTGTCCTCATATACACCTGTACCCGGGCATCAGTTATTGCTTTATTATACCATATGCATATACTCGCCGTTTGTTCGACACATCTGTGCTTGTTTGTGCCATCAGGAAAATGAAAAGCATGTTAATTTGGTATTGTTTCTCCTCCATAGCGTCGTGTGTACTGTAAACACCTGCAGAAGTGAGTGTCGGCGAGTGGAAAGGTTAATTGCGCGAGTGATCCTCTTTGTCTCGTGAAGTAGCGCGGCTCGTCAGAGCTTCTCTATTACACTCGCAAGCTCTCGTCAGACGCGGATGTCAGAAAATCCATATACGAGCGCACTGCAGGCCGTTGTGTGTGGCCGCTGACGGTCACGGGTGAAGCGGCGATACGCTGCCGGCGGGAATGTGTGACCTCGGGATACATACAGTACACAACAGAGGTTAAACTATAACCTCAGTCCATCACTCACAGCTGGTTTTTCTGTCCTTCGTCTTGAAGTCGATCTGTAACCCTTCACATTTTAGCCCTGCTCAACTCTTCGACTCTTGTTTAAATGATTGATTGAGGACTTTTGGCCTTTTGCTTGCTTTGATCATTCAGTTTAGTGTTTACAGTGTAAAGATGCAAAGCCAGGGCCGAAAGAGTGAGCAATTTAGATCTATCTTTTATGCCAATAGTAGATTTGTGCATGCTCTGTCATACATATATCATACTTTCTGATTCTATACTGTGAAGTTAAATCGCAGAGATTATTCTACAGGTTCTACAGACCTACAAGAAAAAAGACATGTCCTTAACAACATGTTCTTGCCCAATCTATAAATAGTCACTGCACACCTATTTTTGTATTCTTATTAATGTTAAATATTTTATTCATTATTTAACAAAAATATTTTAGATTTTTATCATGTTTAATATTTTATGGGTCTGAATACTTTCCGTACCCACTGTATATCATACTTTCTGATTCTATACTGTGAAGTTAAATCGCAAAGATTATTCTACAGGTTCTACAGACCTACAAGAAAAAAGACATGTCCTTAACAATATGTTCTTGCCCAATCTATAAATAGTCACTGCACACCTATTTTTGTATTCTTATTCATGTTAAATATTTTATTCATTATTTAACAAAAATATTTTAGATTTTTATCATGTTTAATATTTTATAAAATTCTTACAAACATTTTTAATATATATTTTTGTTATTGTATCTATCTATCTATCTATCTATCTATCTATCTATCTATCTATCTATATATTAGTGCTGGACAACGATTAACAAATATAAAACCAAAGCTATTTGCCACTGCCAGGGCATTAACGTGTTTATAGAAAATATTTTATAGTTTGTTATAGAAAAACCAGTTGTGCTCAGAGTCCAGAGCCTCGATCATAACATTATAACAGGCACCTGTTTTTTACAAATGTAATTATTTTATTTATATTTTATTATTATTTCTATATTATTATATAACATTTTACTTTTTATTATTTCATTTACTTTTTATTATTTCTATAATATCACAATATAGGAGTAAATTTTAATTACCCCCATTTTGTTTATTATTATTTTTATAATAATTCAGCCAATTCTCTCCTCCCCCTGAACATACTGTATTCTTGTACAGATGTTTTACTTCTGAGGTTGTTTTTGCAATTATTGTATAATTCTTAATAGGGATTCTCCTTTCTTATGATACTGTAATGGTTGGAAAATATCATGAAAACAATGTCACAATGCGGTAAATCCTTAAAATTAGAATAATAAAATGTATTAAAATAAAATGATGAAAATAAAATTATTGTTTTATTTTATTTATTTTTTTCCTGAAATGTCAGTGTCCGTCTGCTACAGAAGGACATGCTGAAAATCTCACCGGAGCTGTTCCACCAGGCTCACGGTTCAAAGAACCATGGTGTTTTTGATGTCTTGTTTTTGCTCTACCAAACAATTATGACTCATACTAACTAAAGTGGCGAACCTGTGTGCGTTTGTGTTCAGAATGACTTCAGAATGAAGCAGAAAGTCCTCGGGCTTCATCCTCTCCACTCTCTGGAACTTCGCTTCAAGTGTGTTTATCCGCACCCGGAGATTCAGGGGCTCGCCTGCCTGCCCACGAGCGGTTAATAATTAATTTGCCGTGCTTGTCTGACCGTATGATCATCTCCTCATATCTGTGCGCATTCTGGATTTTAACGTGTTCCCCCTAGAGAGCCTCTTCTCATGTCTTGTTGTGTCAAGCTTGACCTACTGTCCCGCGGAGAGAAAAAAGCAAGCGCCAACGGAGGCCTGCCGAGAATAGTTGAGGTAGACAGCATGATAATTTGATGAGCCGAGAACAAACTGTGCCGGGTTCTGAGGAAAAAAATGACAATTTCCTATTTTCCAAAAGTAGTGTAATCCACAAAGAACAAGCAGTAATGGTAGAAAAAAAAAAGATGACAGCTCCTGCTCTCCAGAAGCTGGAATAGCTATGTCACGATCTATCGTCAGTGACTGTCAGTCCTGCATGTCGTTAGCTTACAGCTGACATGTCTTACGGGAAACGTGCGTAGGGTTTTGGATGCTTCACCTGACAAGGGGCTTTCAAATCAAGGCAGAGTAGTAGGTACTTTATTATTCATTGGCCAATAAATTATTCAGGGTGGTGTCAACGTGCACGTTGTCTGTGGTGTAATTACCGGCGTGCTGAAAAACAGCCACTTTCCATTTGCGCCGACGCATGACGGCCCCCGTTTCTTGTCGACATCTCTTTCGTAGCAGAACAGGTCACTAGCCCACTTCAGTCGTAGTCCACTCACTCGCTATTTTACGGTAGAATGCGCTGCGAGTAACTGTTAAGTTGCGTGTGTGTGGGTGTGTTCAATCACTTGGTAATTTAATTTAATTGATTTGCTGTTACAGTGGCCTTGTGACAAATTGGGTTAGCTTCACTTTACCTGCACTTACTGTTTACTACAGCTTGCTAGCAGCATGCTACTCTTACTATTTATGCAGCATATAATGAACATTTTATGTCTACGTTGAATGTATGATATTCTAAATTCACTAAAATGCGCAAAAAACACTGCAAGAGGCTATTTTCCCACAATGCAATGCGTTTAACTTGACTTTGCAGTCAGGAAGTGATATCAGCTGTATTATTGTTTTATTTTATTTATTTTTTTCCTGAAATGTCAGTGTCCGTCTGCTACAGAAGGACATGCTGAAAATCTCACCGGAGCTGTTCCACCAGGCTCACGGTTCAAAGAACCATGGTGTTTTTGATGTCTTGTTTTTGCTCTACCAAACAATTATGGACTTTGCAGTCTGAACAGGAAGTGATATCAGCTGTCATTATCTCTTTCTTGACTCTTTTGACCAAACTGCCAGAATGTAAGGCGTTTTGGTGCCAAAACAGCTAAATGCTAATCATAAATTTTCTTTTTCTTTAGCTCCACCCAGGTTCACAAAAGTACCTGTCGACATGATCGGCGTCTCCGGAGGTGTCGTATCCTTCGTATGCCAAGCCACAGGTGACCCCAAGCCAAGAGTAACCTGGAATAAGAAAGGAAAGAGGGTGAACTCTCAACGCATCGAGGTGAGACTTGGCATGCTAGCACGTATTCAGTATATCAGTTGAATAATCAGCTGTTTCTGTGGTATTTCTCACAAAATGCCATCTGGAATTGTTTTTTGGTTCAATCTCGTGTTTACGTAGCATACATATCCTAGCTTCTGTGGGTTTTAGCCTGTGTCTTATATTCCTTTCTTGTTTGCTGTGTTCTTTTGTCATAACACAGCTGGCAGCTGTAGTGTTGATCAATGTTTAGTGTATCTTAATTAAAACTAGCTCCGCATTTAACCACGCTGTCACTATTCAACAAAGATGAAAAACTTCCCTCAAAAAAAGATCAACACAAAAACACGTTGGTGGATCCGATTCACTCGGTGTGAACCCAAGAGTACACTCAAATTATCATCTTGGTTGCATTTAAAAGTCATTTCGTGAGGGGTTTGAATTAATTTGTTTCCCCTGAATGCTTTGCTTTGATATTGATCTGCACACACTTAGGACAGTGTGCCGTCACTGGGCTGCTTCTCATTATCGTAGCCTTGAAAACTCACCCCCCAAAAAACGAAAGAGAGTTTTGCCACTGGCTTACAAAGGGCCTCGTTCCTCTTTGTCATTCCCTATTGATTCTAGCGACTGTTTCGCTACAATGACATCAGATGCGAAAGCACCGCAGAAGCCTAGTTAACTCTCTTACATAATTTGAGCTCATAGCAACATCTAGGCGTTGGAGGACATTTTGGCGCCTTAAAATAGGAGCACAACAATTTTTATCCGAATTAATTGATGTAAACATGAGAAGAGTTAGGGTTAAGGGTTAAAAGTTGGGGATGCCGGTTGATCAATCCAAAACTTTGCAGCAGGGAAGTTGCATGTCATTTACCAAGACTGTTCCCCCTTGAGCAACTAGGAATTAAGTGCCTTGCTCTCGAGACACTTGGGATTGGTAACTCTCAATTGTAGGATTGAATTCACAGGCGTTGTGTCTTCAGGCCAGATTTTTAACTACCCGGCAACTGTGTTAATGACATTTTACAATTTCAGTGTAATATACCGACTCTCTTTCCTCTTACACAGACAATAGAGTTTGATGAAGGTGCGGGGGCCGTCCTAAGGATCCAGCCTCTACGGGCGCCTCGAGACGAGAACATCTATGAGTGTGTAGCGGAGAACAGCGAAGGCGAAATCAGTGTCCAAGCTAAGCTGTCAATCATTAGAGGTAAGACTAAAGTCAAATGGGTCAACAATTTTTTTGGCGAACTAACCCTTACAGTCAGTGGTTTCCAATCCTGCCCCTAGAGGGCCACTGTCCTGTAAAGTTCATCTGCCTGGAAATTTCTACACTGCAAAATCTGTCACTACAGTGGTACCCTTTTAACAGGTACACCCTTTTACCTTACTTACCCCCAAAAGGTGCATATTAGTACCTTAAAGGTACATATTTGTATCTAAATGGTACATACCTTTTATTAGGGTACCATTCCAGTATCCGCTTTTGTACCTTTTTTTCTGAGAGTGTAGTGATCCTGAAGACCTCGAGTAGTTGGGTTAGGTGTGTTTAATTGGATCCCCTTGCTTTAAGTGTGTATCCTCTTCCAGTCCTCGAGACCAACCGCCCAGTTGAATCAGATGTTTTAATTAGTGAGACATCTAAAACATTCTGGGAGGTGGGTCCCCAAAACTGGAGTTGAGAAACACTGCCCTGCAGGACCATTTCAGCAAACCCTTGAAGAAACTGACCAGCGTTCTCTGGTTAACTTGAATGTGACCCAATCTTACTGTCGCAGAAACTCTAAATCCATCCTAGCCAATCACAGAACCTCTGTCGTCCTCAGCATCGAGTTATCCGTTTGTTCCCCGTGCGCTGATGTCTAGCCATCTGCCTTGTCAATGCCGAGCACTGGAGCAGGCAGCTTGCAGGCTTCTTCCTGGGCCCGAACCCAATCTGAGGGTTTTTGTAGGCAGCCCAGTTTTACATGAAAATCCTGGCTTTGGCAAGACCCATGCGGCTCAGGAAGGAACACAGGAGGTAGCACTAGGGGGGAAAAACGGCTGCTCCCCCCTTCGCTCTCTCATCCCCATCTGCTGTGGGCCCGCATTTACATCGAACCTTATCAGAAGAGCAAGCCCCATACACACTTATACAAAGGACGACACATGTGTCTGCTCGCTCCCAGATGAGAGCGCCTCTGCTCCAGAACGTCTGCGCGGACATCAATCAAAATCAATTAAACTGTCCACCATTGCAGCTGCAATTTGTGGTCTCCAGTGGGCTCTTCTTTCATTTTGTCCCTGGCCAGCTTCTGAAGCTGGTGACTTCATTAAGTACCCAGTCACCTTGCCGTCTTCAGGGTGTGTCTGCCCACCTGCGGCAGAGAAAACACAGGAAGGCTTTGCTGTAAATCTGCCGGTGCTCTTTCCAGGGGCTTAGGTTTGTTTTTAGCTGCCTTCTGGCTGCCCACAAGAGCGGTGAGCAGAATGCTTAAGATGTGCCATCTGCTTTTCCACCGTGTCGCAGAGTCCTCTGAGAGTCCTTGGAGGAGTCTTGGAGAAAATCGAGGCGAAGACACCTGCAGCCATCGCTGCTGCTTCTCCTCCTCCGTGTCACTACGGGTGGCGAACCCTCGCTTCCCCTCCTCCGCTTTCTTCTCTTGTAGCCTCGCTGTTTTTCTTTTCATTCTGACCCTGGCTTTCAGCCCTTCTTGGCAGTCTTGTCCACCAGCGACCCAGAGCTAGCTCTTCATAGAATCCAACACCAACAGCAGCCCAGGTTTCGCCATCTGCTCGCTTCCTGCGAGGTGTCAGACGCTCGCACGCTTCTTTACACATTCAGGTGTGTCTGGCCTTAGCTTGCCCCTGGACACGCTGTGAGAGCGCTGGGTTCAGAGTGCTAGCCAACAAAAGATCAGAGCGGGAACGCTGGACCGCACAGCCACGGGTTTGGCATCGTGAAAATCCCGAAATCCGAAGGTGTCAGACCACCTTCCCAAAACATTAGCTCTTTTCCAATACCTTCTGTTTTTTAGACGGCGTCATAGGTTAACTCCAGATGTTAAGGCTTTTGTAAAAGTTGCCTAGATTTAGCTGTAGCGCAGGCTATATTTTGTGGATAAGGCAATCCCAGAATGCATTGCGTCAGGCTAAGTGGGGAAAAAAAATCCATACAAGATAGCAAATGAATGGATTGATATAACTGAGAAAAATGCTAGGTTTAGAGTTACAAGTGCACTATTTTACCAAATATGTTTTTGTAGGTATTTTTAAGCTTATTAGAATGTTGTGCTGTTAGCTTGGCAACATGTTAGCCAAAAACTCTTGTAATCTGTTAGTTAGGTTTAAGGCCGTAAGTGCACTATTTTACCACACAACTGTGTGTGCTATGTATTTTGATGCTTATTAAAATACAGTGTTGTGCTGTTAGCTTAGCTTAGTTAGCAGGAAACTCGTGTAATCTTTTGTGGAAGGATAAAATTGATGCAAAGCAGTTAGGCCTAGGGTTACAATGCACTATTTTAGCTAATATTTTATGTATTTTTGTGCTTAGCAGAGTACTGTGCTGTTAGCTTAGCAACCTGTTAGTGAAAAGCTCTTGCAATATGTTGTGGATTGATAAAACTGATAAAAATGCTAGGTTTAGGGTTACAAGTGCACTATTTTTTATTTAATATGTTTGTTTACTCTGTATTTCTATGCTTATTAGAGTGTTGTGCTGTTAGCTTAGCAACATGTTGATGAAAAACCTGTGTAATCTGTTGTGGATTGATAAAATTATTACAAATAGTTAGGTTTAAGGCTACAAGTGCACTATTTAAGCTAATAGTTGTGTGTTCTATGTATTTTGATGCTTATTAGAGTGTTGTGCTGTTAGCTTAGCTTAGTTAGCAGGAAACTCGTGTCATCTTTTTGTGGATGGATAAAATTGATGCAAAGCATTAAGTTTTAGGGTGACAAGTGCAGTATTTTTTTTACATAATTGTGTGTGCCATGCATTTTGATGCTTATTAGAGTGTTGTGATGTTAGCTTAGCAACATGTTAGCAGGAAACTCTTGTCATCTTTTGTGGATAGATCAAATTGATGCAAAGCAGTTAGGCCTAGGGTTAGAAGTACATTATTTTACCTCATAATTATGTGTGCTATGTATTTTCATAATTATTAGAGTGTTGTGCTGTTAGCTTAGTAGCATGCTAATGGAAAACTCAATTGTAGTCAGTTTGGGGTTGGGTCTTTTGTGTGAGGAGCTGCATTTGAGTTGCTGCCTATGAAGAATGTCCTAAATCAGTGCTTTATTAGAAGGTAGAAGCCTAAGTAGACAGTATCTCTTTGTCAGTTTGCCTTGCTTTCTTCACCTCTTCTCATCTCTAATCTCATCCTTCACTTCCAGAGTTCACGCTGTGACCCTTCCTCCTTCAAACTCTGGGCGCAGGAACTCGTTAGCACTGCCGAGCGCCAGAGAGGATGATCTCACCGCAGCCCATGCCGTTTGATCAGGCGCGTTTAATTGGCTGCTACCCTGCAGGACGAGCCGCGTTTGTTCTGCCGCTCCTCGCGCGGTTTTAATTGGACTGTTCTGACCCTGCCACCGAACCCCTTTTATTAGCCATTTTTTTAAATCACAGCTTTCGTGCTGCCATTTCCAAATTCGACTCTGTCTCGTTTGTCCCACTCAGGCGCAGTTTGAGGAATCTTAATGTCACTTTTCTCTCTCTGCGTCTGGTTTGAAGTGTCGCTGCCTCTGATCAGAGATGCTCAGCACTTCAAAGTTCAATTCATGACTCATCCATTCTGAAGAAATCTCACCGTCTCGCACATTTCTATAAAAAAATTTCTCTATACAGAAATCAACTCAGTCGGTACCATCGTCTCTAATCCTCAGAGTAATCTTGCCGTCCATCTCTGTTCCTTTTACTACAGCTCTTTCTTCCTTTCTGCAAGTCTCTCCCCCTCACTTCGCCTTTTCCACTGACATTTAATTACATCATTTTTAATGATAATAATAATATAATTCATAATAAATGTAATTAATGTATTAAATAATAAACTAATGTGTGTGTAGACACAATTTAAAAATATTCTAAATATTTTTATTTATTTTTATTGAATTTATATAATAATAATAATAATGATAATAATAATAATAATAATGTAAAACTATAAATTAATTTAATAGTAAACAATTAAACTTTCCCTTTTCAACTGACATTTAATAATAATAATGATAATAATATAATTTATAATAAATTAAATTAATGTATTCATTGAATTTCAGTTTATGGAGTTAATATAATAATCATAATAATATAAACTAATAAATAATTTATTAATAGTAAGTAATATAATAATAATAGTTCATTAAAAATATAAGTAATAAATATATAACAATAATATTAACAGTAGTAGTAGTAAAAAAAAAAAATTTAATACATGTATTTTATTATGCTACATTAAATTATTATAACAAATAAAGTAAATTTATTTGCATGATTTTAATTTATATAGTTTTATGTTAATATAAATATAATTTTCAATTAAATTTAAAGAAATAAAATTCATAATTACGCTTTACAATAAGCAACCCTCTATGGACACCTTGGCAATAGAATTGCCATTGGCTAGTACATTTTTTACTTTACTCACCAGACTAAAATTAAATATTTGATTATACTATATTATTTGATGATAGAACTTTAGTAATTAGAATAACCATGTATGAATGCATATTTGTCATTTTAACTCAACTTAGGACTGGTGGTGGTGCTTAAAATATTGTTTGTCATTTAGTGTTTCTATTAAAAAAAAGGGAAAAAATGAAAAGTAATACTTATAAGATAGCAATACTACTACGAATTCTACTACTAATAACAATATAAAACGTGCTAACGATTAATGAGCTGCTGGAGTCATGAATATTAATCACTTTGTCTGCATTCGCTCGAATTGATTTGCTGAAATCAAAACAGGGATGATATTAAGTGAGCACCAGCCAATGAGATTGCCGTTTGCGCGTTAGTTCCGCCCACTACTGGAGAAACCGGCAGTTCTAAAAAGCTGAAGAATTCCAAAGGAAGTCCGTTATTTGACAGGAAAATACAACAAAAAATATTGTTTACTTGTTTTTTAAATTGAATCTTATTGTAAATCATAACAGTTTACTTCAATGCAACTTCCGATTGCGTGTCAAAAGTAGCTTGAAATGGCATAAAGATGCTGAATCAATATA